GGAGTGACTGAGTAAAGATGCTGACTGACATCTTCAGGGTGTGCCATTCTATCCACCTAGTTATTAACAGTCTCCTCCACAGCATATACCTTTGGTGTGTCTTCAGTTAGGACATAAATATCTTAACAGTTTGCACCCATTTGAAGAAGTCTGCCTTTTCCCCAGACTTCCTTGCCACCTACTTTCCAATCCCATTCCTCCTAAGACTTAACCTTATAAACACATTAGCAACTGCCAATTCTGGATCTCTCACTCTTGATATGCTGGACAAACACTCTGAATTATGCCAAATAGAAGTTTCCTTTACCACTATCCTTTAGACCCCTGAATAGGGCTGGGAAAACCACTTGTGCTGCAGAAGGTGGATTCTAGATAGGACTTCTTTATTGCAGGAGCCTGTCTGACAGACATGCTAGAACTTTCTTATTTCAATGTTTAGCCATCATTCTTTACTAAGAGAACTTAAGAGTCCAGATCCAACTTCACAGAACAATGAATTTGGAAGTGACAGGCAATAAATCAATTACAGCATGGATACTATATAGTTGGCCCAACTTAGATCAAAAACATACTTTTCTATATTCACCAAGGACACTATAGTCAGTTTGGGCTAGGCAGAGAGAAGTAGCTCCTCAAAACATGGGAGAAGAACACTCTTCCCAAAAAGGAGATGAGTTCTAGGCTAATAAAGAAAAGTTTCCCCTACATTTCACTCTTTGGCTGCTCAAGGCATGTATGAACACACACACAAAAGGACACATATGTGCATGCACACACATACCTTTGCCTTATATCTCTAGTTCCTCTTAATATAAATCAACTATTCCATTTGCCATTGCAAATATATGCAACTGTCCTACTACAGTAGTAGTAGAAAACTCAGTCACATCCAGCTACTGAATTATGCCCTAAATTTGGGAACTTCAAGTGCTGTCAATTCTGATCAGATCCAGATCAGGCTAAATGATAATTAGAAAAATTATCACTAGTGCACAAATATATGAGAAGTAGGGGAAAACAGGACAAAAACTAATAGAAAAGGGAAAAGGAAAAACAGCATGCAATGATGGTAAGGATATTCCATATCCTGCTAGGCAAGAACAGTAAAAGAAAGACTGCCCTTCTCCAGCAGACAACTAAGATCTTTGGTTATTCCATCAAAATTCCAAGATTTCCCTCGTCTCAAAGACACTGCCTTAGATATGTTACTACATATCTATTAGGATGGACATGGTAGATCTGAAGCCTGGGACATCGCCTTTAAGAAAGTTCAAGAGTAAGTAACTTTTTCCAGGTTGAAGACTTTCTGTCATACCTTAAAAGTTCACTTGGCTGCCAGTCAGAGTCATTTGGGGAAATCCATTAGCTTCTTATCAAAAATCTCACTGAGAAATGAGCTTTGAATATGGACCTTGTCCTTCCTGTTTCTACCTCTTTGAAACTAGCCGAGCGACTTTTGATAATCTCTGAGAGATCTTAGTTCAGTGACTTTTGTCACAGATTCTCTGAGGGGAGGAGGAGAAAACATGTTTGGGTTATAAAGCCAGGTCATAGCATCAGACTCCATCCCTAAGTTGTTCACCACTCAAGTGACAAAATGGGAGGAATTATCTTTATGGTGAAGGAACATAACAGAAAATATTTGGGGAGAATCCTGAGGAACAAGGCATCCCTGACTCTATACTCTCTATTCTCATACTTAATGTAATAACTTTATGTGAGGCAGAAATTTAGTTATTCCAACTGGAAGAACAGATATATGATCCTTATCCATTGTTTTAGTTACCTTTTTTGCGTCTATGACTAAAGGACCTAACCAGCACAGTCACAGAGGAGAAAGAGTTTATTTGAGGACTCACAGAGGTCTTAGTCATAGAAGGCCAGTTCCATTTGTTGGGGCTTGAGGTAAGGCTGAACATCATGGCAGAGTGTGTGACAGAGGGAAGCAGCTCACATGAGATCAGGAAGCAGAGAGAGGTCTCCACTTGCCAGTTACAAATATATATATCCCAAAGCCATGTCCTAATTTGCACCTCTTCCAGCCACACTTTACCAGTTCAGTTACCACTCAGTTAATACCTATCAGGGGATTAATTTACTGATTGGGTTGACTCTCACAACTCAATCATTTCTCCTCTGAATCTTCTTGCACCATCTCACATGTGAGCTTTTGGGGGACACTTCACATCCAAACCATAATGTCAGGATAGGATAACTAACCCACTGGCAGCAAGAACTCTTCGGAACAATGCAATATGATTTTTACCCACTAAATGCCTGTCTCTTTTGGAAAAGCCATGCTGAATCACACGCCTCTTAGCACTAAGGGAGACAAGAAGCAGTCAACATTTCCCAATAGCCTAACAGCCTGTTGTTTTTGTTGTTGTTTTGTTTTTGTTTTTTTGTCATGTTCCCTAAAGCTAGATCTTTACTGAGTATAACAAATGATGTACCAATGTCTCAAACTGTCTATGATAAAGGATTCATTTGTTGTTGTTGTTGTTGTTTTTTAGTTACCAACCCATCACCAATGCTTTCATAAATAGAAAATTGCTTGCTTGGATGCCACTGTAATGTCAAATTGTTAAAAGTTTTAAAATGTTCCTCTATTAAGAGGAACATTCTATATTCATAACATTGCTGCTTACTATGGCTTGCAGATTGGCTTTGGTCTGTATATTACATTTTCAATAGCACTGAAATAACCAATAATACTTGCAATTTTTCTAGCCTGGATGGATGGCTCCTCACCATTACAAATGCACCTTGGTTAAACCAATTCTACATGTTAGAACTGGACCTTCCATCTACCCATTTCCAGATGTCAACTTCTATATTAATCTAGAGCCTTAGAACATAGTGTATTCTACTTTAGAGTGCATTGTTTCTTACCTGGCATATGAATAATGGGGCACTTTAAAAAAGCAATGAGTCCTATGAACTTTATCTCAGTGTCTTACTTCTTTCATTTGAAGTGAATTTCTTGGTTAGAGAAATAGTTGTTGATAGCATATAAGTATTCAAAAAGTCTATTATTAACAGAAAATGGCGTTTGCAGTGAAACCACATTCACCTCCATAGTGAGAAACTATGGTAGAGAAGAAAATGGTTGACTTATCCATGACAAAAGGGAACCCAAAGAAATTGGGATGCTTGGTTCTAGCCATCTTGTTGCTGGTCTCCTTAAAGGCCAGTGTCTTGTAAGGGCTTTGGAATAGGTCACCATTATAAAATGGACTTTTCAGCAGTGGCAATAGTTACTGGAATAGAGCATTCCACTGCTCCTGCCTTTGCCTTGGTAAATAGGTCATATTTTTCTCTACCTTACAACCTTACTTTTCCTACCACTTGGAAGAAAACCCAAACTCTTCTTATGGCCTACAGGGTACTGCCGGGTTTTAAGGTCCTAATGTATCTTCAAATTCTATTGTCACTCTTCTCTCTCCCATGTTCCAGATGCCTTAGCCATGCTAATTTCCCAGCACAGCAAGCTCTCATATATCCTGTTCACTCTTCCTGGAACATTATATGTGCTTCCCTCCAACTCCCATTCTTTTAGAAATAGGTTGAAAAGTATAATACAAACATTATTTTCTAACCCAGTTTCTTATTTTCTTCATTCTATCTAAGACAAGATACAATTATTTAATATTCCTTAAAAATAAAATTAGATTTCGAAACAAATCCAATCGGTCTACAGAGCTTTAAAGTGCTTTTCACACTCAGTGGAAAGCAAAAGATCAAGAGGTATCCTTGGAGATCCGATAAATAATTAAATACCCCAGTAGCTGCAAACTCCCCTCAGAATTCTGCCTGTGTTTTCTTCAAATGTTCAGTGGCATTTCCATCTGCATTCTTGATTCACAACAATCGGAAGCCAGGCACCTATGAATCCATCTCATGCATGGTCTTTTAATAATTAAATCGGGGCTACCCATTGGCTCAGCCGGGATCAAAGGCTGCAGGCCAGCTGGGGGAGCAGAGACCCGCGCCCGCTTGGGAGCGGGGTTCCACGCGGCGGCGCCCCCGGGGCCGTTATGAGTCTCGTTCCCGCGGGCAGCTCCTCTCCGCCACCCCCGAGGAGCCCCGAGATCGCACTCGGGTCCCGGTGCTACCGTTCAAACCGGCGAGTGTGCGCCCGGGGCTCCCCGGGTCGCTGCAGGGCTACCTGGGCGCAGAACCGCAGGAGGGTCTCAGTCTCCAGGCGCCCCGCTTAAGTGGGAGCCCCTTCCCAAAGTCCGGCCGGCCAGATCCGCCGCTTCCGCGCAGCGCCGGTCGCCGCCGGCAGCCGCGCTCTCCCTCCTCCCACTCCGGCATCCGGCTACCCGGCGCAAAAGCCTCCGAAGCGCCCCCGCCCGAGGGAGAGCTTGGACCGTAAACCCAAGTTGAGTAAGGACTATCGAAGGAACAGGCGACAGAAGTGGCATAAGCTCCCTCGTTATCCGTCCATTTTTCTCTCTCCATCCTTCTATCATCCCCTGCCGCTCTCTTTTAGGACTAGGATTCGAATTTCTCAGTAAGAGCTTTATCGCGACGTCGTAAATTAACGCGTTTGACTAAAATAGTGACAGAATCGTTTAGTGGTTAAAGACTACTTTAATTGTGATACGAAAGGCATTTTGCATAAATTGAACGGACAAGAAAGTTCTGAGGTTTGACAAAAATAAACTTAAAGTCCATTTATGTATAAAGTACCCAGAAATTACACGTTTAGAAATCAACTAAAAATATACGAGGGATGCGGATTATTTACAATCTTTTCAAGCGATTCTCAAGTTAAAAAAAAAAAAAAGTCCGGCCAAAGACCACACATCGCCCCATGTCACGCCAGCCTCGCTAAACCTGAGGTCAGGAGAGGCCGGACTCTTGGTACTAGGAAGGAGGAAAAGGGAAAGGGGACAGGGGCGGGGAAAAGTGACGGGAGCAGAGAGAGCCGGAAATGAGTGGCTAGCGAGGAGCCCCAGAGCGCCCTGTCCGGTGGCGCTCTAGCCCCTGCGCGCCGTCTCTATGCTCCTCCGCGTCTGGTCTATTTATTGTCGCGGGGAAGCAGGGGCCGCCCTGTACCCGGAACAACAAAGCACGAAAGACGGAGCCCGAGCCTCGGGGGCTCCTAGCAACGGGCCGGGGCGGGAGTTCCATGGAGACTGGGGAGCGCGCCCGCCTCATCTTCATTCTTGTGCTCCAGCTTCTCCTTCGCATCCGACGCAACCGGCAGCAGCGCTGCCGCCGCGTCCTCTGCGGCCGCCCCGTCTTCCCACGGTAACCCCGTCGGCGATCCTGGGCGGGGGGAGGCGGGCCACTGGGCGGCCCCAGCGCCGGCCGCGGGGCGTCTGGTCGCCGGGCGGGCGTGTGCCGAGCCAGGGCCGCGCTGCGGGTGGAGTGTGCGGGGGCGGGGACTGGAGGAGAGGAGCGAGATGTGGGAAACTGGCCCGGTGGCCGAGGGAGGGACCAGTCTTAGGAGGACCGGGAATGATTTGGGGGCATCTCATTAGGGATAACGGGGTGGGGGTGGGGCGTCCCTGCCTAGGATCTTTATCGAGTCGGGTGTGGGGTAAACCACCGCTGGGAAAGACCGGGAAGGGAGTTCCCCGTCTGTCTCTGTGGAACCCTCAACCTGGGAATAGAGGAACCCTGCAAAGATGCTTGGGGTCCGTTGCTTCCCAGAAAACTTCAAGTGGCCTCTGCAGCAGCGGGAAGGCTCCCAGATAGCGGCTTCATGGGCGCCTGGTGCTGCCAGTGTTAACAGCCCCAGTTTATTATCATTGTTATTACTGAACCAAAATTAGGCTTGATGAATAAGGATCTGGGACCGAATTGTGGGTAGGATAGGGTAAGAATGAGAGTAGGGATAATAGCTTAGTAATAGCCAATAAGAGCCTTAAAAATAAATCGAATTGGGAATGACGGTTTTTAAAAAAGCTCTCCTGCGGAGATGTGCATTTGCAGGCTCTCTCAGTGTGCTTATTGCAATAAGACGCAAACTGCAGCGAGTCCACATCTGTGAACTCCGACTGCATCTGTCACCTGCAGATCCAAAGCGACACTGGCAGTAACTAGTGTGAGCTTCTGTGTTTAGGGTTAAGAACATTTTCTGTCTCTTTCAAAGTATCAGAAAATGGCAGTTCATTCAAATTGAAAAGTGACTTTTAACACTATCTGGTTGAAAGAATTATTCAGAGTTTGAAATACCCAATTATTCATTAGTTTATGCTCTCTTTTTAGCTTTACAAACTACTTAACGGTTTTATACTTTCCTAAACCATTTTAGGTCAGTAAATGAGACTTTTATGTGGCACACTGGAAAGGTCGAATATACATACTGCAATAATAACATTTTTGTGGTCAGTGGTAACAAAGCTCTTTATGTAAAACTGAAGATTAATGATGAAAATGAAATTGTTACAGAAGCAATTATGTCCAACACAGCTTATGTTTTGTCCTCCATTTCTTTTGCTTAAGACTGACTTCTCTTAAGGAAAAAAGTGTCATCTTGACCCCCAGTCCCACTTCTTTTCATGCTATGTATTCACTTTTCATGTTATGTAATGTATTGTAATTGTAATGACCTGCTACTATGGGCTCTCCTAAATGAGGAATAGCCAGAATAGGAGTTTTGAGTCCTGTATTTCATTTTAAGTATTTATATTTAATCTGGAATTGAGGTTCAGTGTCTCCAGTTGAAGTAATTTAATGTATGTGTGAAGAAGTGGGTGGTTTCCTTTAACAGGAATGGGAAATGTGAACATTGGGAAATGAATTGCGTTCTTAAGAAGAAAAAGTCAATATTGTGATCTTTGGATTAATGAATCAAATGCTATTGTTTAATCTTTTAATATGGCTGTTCTATGAATGATATTCTGAGATGACCTCACTTGAGTTTGTGGATATTGACTCCCAAGATTTATTTCATAGTATATATGAGACTTAATGAACTCCTTTGACCTCAGGGCTACCATCTGACTCACTTCCCGTGGACTTTGTTTGCTGAGTCTTCTGTCCATTTTGAGTGTGAGAGGGGATCAACACCTAGCTTCCACCTTTATTAATAATACAATTTCTGCTTTTTTTGCATTCTGCCCAAACATTCCTATCGTTTGGTATTGTCCTAGTTTCTCTCCTTACTTAATTGTGCTCCAAGCAAAAATGATTTTTTATACCATTTGTATTTTTTCTGGTGTTTTTTTGTTTTGTTTTAATGTAATTTTCAATATATGCCCTTAGCCTGTATATACTTTCATTAATGCTACTTCATCTGTTTTATTTTCCTTCTGAATTTTTCTCCTTTAGTGGAGAATTGGAGTGGTCATATCAGATGACCTGTGTTCATTTTGAATAACTATTGACTGAAAATATAACAGGTAAGAAAATTATCCAAGAATCAAAAGATCATATTGAAATAAGGCATGGGAAAATGTTTGAAGTTTTCAAAATAAAAGGCCTTTAGAAGTCCAAGTGGTAATACTGGAGTTGTAGATATAATCACTCTTTTAAAAGTAAAAGGGTAATGTAGAGTCTGCTATATATTTTAATTCTTATCCTAAAAAATTAATACAACTCTTTTTGATCATTTTGCATGTATTTGAATAAAGTTACATTTTGCCAAATTTGAGGGAACTGCTTAAGTGAATTTTGCACATTTTTCTTCACATGGGAAATTGTTACACCGAAATCTTTGAGAATGTATCTATGTATAGAATATGCAGAATTTGCTATAAAGTAAAATAAATAGCAAAACATAGCTGAATATTTTGGGAGCATGTCATTTCTTACCTTCGGTGTGAAATGTTATTTTAATCAGCAAATACTGTACAGTCTAGCTAAGTAGGTGAATTCTGTTTTTAAGTAAAGGAGGCCAGTAATAACCTGGTGATTGATTTCCTTCTGTTGCATCATAGACCATGTGATGAAATTATTGCTATGAAAAATAAAGTTTAAATTGATTTTAGAAGAAATTTACAGTAAAATGTTTTCATAGGGTCACTACCAAAACTTTGTAGTGCTTTGAATATTTAGCCATACTGTGACATTTGGACTAATATAAAGATTTTCTGAAATTTATACTCATTTTATTGCACCTTTTATATGCTTGCTGCCTCTTCAGGTGTGTAAAGCTGGATGAAATATATGTTTCCCTTCAGGTACTTTTTGTGCACTTATCCCAGAGAAATGACAAAACATGGGTAACAAAACACTATAGACGCAAATTTGAATTTTTTAATACTTTGTTACACACTGCCTAGTACTGTAATTACTAGTGTATGGATGTCATCTTGCCTGCTAAAACACAAGTTTCTTGAGGGTTAGGTCTATGAGTCACCATCACAGTGTATTGTTTGTATCCTTGTGTATTTTGATGATAAATATGTTTATTTTTATTTTGCTTCAGGCACTCATCCAGTGGATGAAGAGAACCTTTTTGGAATCTAGTTCTTGATGCCTAAAATTTCAATTTTTTCGTGGCTCTAGGGTTGCAAGTTACAAGCAGCCAAAATTTCTAAAACATGACTAGGGCTTTGTTTTAACCAGTTGAAACAATAAAAACAATGGTTGGCTGCCATAACTTGAGCAGATACAGGATTTGCTGTCATCATATGACTACCACTTTGGGATATTTCAAAAGGGTGAAAGTCTATATACATATCTAAGATCTTTTTGAGGCCAGACAGACAAGTTTGGTTTTTGTATTATGACACAGGCTTTTCTTTAGGAGAGAGATGGAGTTGTGGGTTTTTGTGTAGTTGTGAAAAAACAAGATTCCAGTATTATGTTATTAATGGAAAGGAATCAGGTCACAACAAAAGTTTTGTTTATCTGGTCTTATTTGTTGTTACTAAAGGGCAATTTGGTTTACATGGCTGGTTTTATGCTAGATATTATGCTAGGGATCCTATTAAATGTTAAAAATCACTGATGTGATTTCTGGCACAGTTCAGATGTACTTTCATGTGAGAGTCGATAACTATAAAATTTCATCAAAAAAGGGAGCACAAAGTGTGGTTTTAGGTTACTTTTACCATGAAGCATTATCCATTAATAAAGAATACTGAAAATCAGATGAAGTTAAGGACAGAGTTTTCTCAGGATATATGTGGGTGATGTTAGTTTTGAATTATGACTAGCACAATAAGTATCTATCTGTAGATATTGGCCTTGGTATGATTTGGTGTAACTCCCTAGCTCTGGGTACTTAGAATATCTTAAAGTAAACCATTTGTTTCCATTACTTAAATAGTTCCAAAAAATAGGGTGTTACTCTTCCTCCTGATAAATGGGATTAGAGTTGGTATAACTTTTGAGAGTATGGACTATGGCTACAAGTTGCCAGTGTTCTGCATCATGGCTTTTCAATAATGGTAAGGTCTTAGGGAGTGTTTTTCATTGTCCTGAGCCCCAGTTTCCTCATCCGCACTGTGGAATTAATATTAATATTACCTCACAGGGTTGCTGTGAGAATTAAATGTGAAGCACTTAGAACTTCAGTTTGATTTGAAAAAAAATATTAGCAGATACCATAGCAGGTGCTGTCAGCAGTGGTACTAGGTAGTGTGTTAAAGGTGAACCATTAGATCACTTGAAAGCTTTGTTTCTTTTGTTCATAGGCTTTTTACTGAAGCATTGAAGTTCTGTTCTTTTTGATCTTGAACCATTGGACTCATCTCTGCTGTTAGATTTTGGAAGCGGAGAGTACTTTTTAAAAATTTTGAATAGTCACACAGGCATCGGGTTATCACTTGAGGCAGATGGGCTAAGTAAAGAGAGACATCTATGTTTCTTGGATAAGGAAGGCCAACAAAAGCCAGATGCACCAAGTTGCAACTATTGAAATCTATTTTCCTGTGGACTTGACTATTTAGCAGTATGGTACTTCTGAATAAAAGGAATAGACTCCACTGGTTTCATTTAGCAGAATTAGTCTTTAGAAGACACTATTTTTTACTTATACAACCTTAATTGATGGTAAACTTGAAGCTTGTTAGTGCCAGTCCATTTAACTTTGAGTTTTCTGTGTGACTGTAAATGTTCTAAATGGTAGCCTTCTTGTAATTTTAGAAGTTGCTGAAATTGCTGCTTTTCCCCAGTAGTTCAAGTGGTTAAGAATGACTTTGTAGGATTATAGAATTATTTATTTATGGTAAAGCTAAAACCAAATATTGAGGCTACCTACGCAGGGAAATAATTTGATAATTCCAGCTTTGTTTAAGTTGCTATTGAGATAGTGAACTTTTAAAGTTAAGTCCAAATGTTTTGGTTTAAATGTA